AGTTTTTGTTTATTTTTATGGTGTAGTATATTGGTGTTGTCAACAAGTTTTTTTCTTCCTGTATTGTGAAGGTGGACAGGAATGCGTTTTTAATTGTTGTACAATGGAACTTGTACCTGAAAAATGAAGAGTAAGACGTCTTGATAATGTTGTGGTCGTCAAGTCAACATATGTACTTACTTTATTTTGTTAGAGATACAATCTCCCAAAGGACATTTAAACTGATACTTTTTAAAATCACCATCGCAACAGAATGCAGATTTTATCTCAATTGCAATAAGTTTGTCTTTGTAATTTGCCCCTGAAGATGATCTTGGAAAATATCGAAAGTACTTGGGGTTGAGAAAAAATACGGTGACTTCTTTGATGAATTTCATCTTAAAATCAAGAAATTGATTAGACAACTGTAAACGCTTTAGTATAAAAGTAGACACAACATGTGTATGTTATTCAATAAAACACACACACACACATATATATATATATATATATAATTATATCGTTTGAAGTTCGCGATAATTATATGAGAGGAATGCTAAATATCGAAGATAGAGCTTAAATGAAACAATATTGAATTAATTTCGGCTTCTGTGCAATATATACGTCGAACCACCACATTAAATAGGTATTGAGTTTCATTTAATACCATTAGAGGGTCTGTTAAATATCTGTACTTTATGTCAGCAAGAATTCAGTTGAATTATATTTAAAATGCTAAATTAAAATAATATTTTATTACTAGAGATGTTATTTTTACTGGCAATTTACATGTAATTTACATGTATTATTTGCATTTTTTTTACATTTTTAATGTATTTTTACATGGCTTTTACATGTGTTCGCATTTGCATCTTTGTTATTTTAAATAGTAAAATTAGCGTCAACTGGCCTAGAAAAGCGTGAATGTTTACGAAAGAAAATATCCCAGTCGACAGAAACTGAAATTTTATTCCCTTTTTCCATGAGAGAGAAACCACACCTTTACCCAAATTTTGCCCTACGATTTTAAGTTACAAGTTCTTATGTATGTTACATTAATAAAATTATATTATACTAATATTAATAAAAATCATTCATTTTTGCCTAACAAAATGAGTGTTATTTGCTTACAAATTACAAATTCATATATATATATATATATATATATATATATATATATATAAATATAAGAAAAATATACTGAAAAATCAAACAAAAATTCTAATATGCGATTATGCTGTTTTAATGTTTAGACGTTTCGGTCTAATAGACCATCTTCAGGACATATTCATAAAACATAATTAACATAGACCATATACAATTCAACATGAAAAAGACGGTGGACATAAAAGCAAGACCAATCCAAACAGATAACTGAAATCTTTTATAAGATCAGCGTTCAGTTTAAATATGATCACGTCGTCGTCACGTGGGCGATGTTGTGAAAACGTATTCCTAAAATTTGAGTATTTTGAATGAAAAACGAAAAGAATTTTATTTTGATCTAAAACTTATATGTACGTTTGTCGAGCATTAATCTTGCTAGAAAAGGGGAAATATTAAAGAAGCCAGGTCTAATATTCACCGTGCGTGAGATAGATATTATGCCTGCTTCATAAATCCGCCTAAGATTTTTATTATGAAACTATTTTAAAATCTTCACAGAATCAAAATCGAAATTATGATCAGCTTTAGTTGTGTGTACAACTAAAGCATTGTTTAAATTTCCGAGGCGAATATCTTGTTTATTTTCGAAAACACGAGATTTTACGGACCTACATGTTTCACCCACAGTTGTTGCATGAGATTTGGTAGATGCAAGCATCGGATGTAATATGTTGTTTGCTGGTGTTAGTTAATAAACTACGGATAGTTCTAGTAGGTAATATTGTAGTTTTGATTTTAACGCATTTAAATTATATATATATATATATATATATATATATATATATATATAAAAACTTATACACACACCCACACAAATATACGCACTTACACACATCATACTCACTCACTCCCTAATGACCCAAAGGATAACACACACCCATAGTAATATACACGTTTACACACATCATACTCACTCACTCCTTAAGAACCAAATAACACACACACACACACACTAACAAAGACACATTCCCTTTCGATGTACCAATAAAACTGTCAAAATGACCAAGGGAATTCAGAGCAGCATGAATCCATCTAGCTCTTATCTCAAATAACAACGTAAAAGAGACTGTTTGACCAACACAAGGACTGACAAAAATTCATTTTAAAAAAGATAAAAAAATAAAAAAACAAATGAAAACTACAGACAAAATTTCATTTTCTCCATCAAGACATTCATTTCTGTAGTTCACAGCTACCAGCAAGTAGAATTTTTTTCTCCTGATGATGGCCACGAGGAATCTAAATGAAATAATAATAAAAACGAAAGAATATTAATATACAACCCAGTGTGTCTGAAGATTTTAATTTTTAATATTTTTATTGTTCAATATATATATATATATATTCATATATATATATATATATATATATATATATATATATATATATATATATAACTATAGGATTGGTGTATACAGAATAAATTCCAATAACCAAAAATCCCGTTTTTAAAAGAGTGCTCAATACAGAGTAGAGCATATACAATTTATTCGAAAATTATAACATAAATATGTTATAAAATAACACAAATACCCATTTTATTTCAACACTTCTAGTGTCTTATAACATACTTATGTTATAATAAATTATATATATATATATATATATATATATATATATATATATATATACACACACACATATACATACACACACACACACACACACATATATATAAAAAAAAAGAAGACATTATTGCATATTCTTCTTTTTATAAATACAAATATTTAAGTAAATGCTCTTTTTATAATAAACAGTATTAAACAACATTTAATGTTGAATGTCCGAGAAATTTTTATACAAAATATGCGCCCTCCGACAGGAATCGAACCTGTATTCTACACGGAACCGTCATATCGCCCGACATGCTTTTACTGATTTCGCCACAGAGGAGCGTTTCGGTTATCAAAGTCAATTTTACTGTTTTTAAAATACAATCTTCCATGATTTTTTAACGTACATTCATATCTGCTCGATGTGTATCCAAATGTAAACAAATGGTGTCACACATGAAATGGACAAAGGAAGATAATTATTTTAAGACATTTTTAAGTTTATATATATATATATATATATATATATATATATATATATATATATATATATATATATATATTATATTTTTTTTTCCATCAAGACATTCATTTCTGTAGTTTACTTCTACCAGCAAGCAGAAATATTTTTCTCCCCGATGATGGCCATTTTGGCCGAAAATAGTCGAGGAATCTAAATGAAATAATAATGATAAAAATGAAAGAATATTAATCTACAAACCCAGTGTGTCTGAAGATTTTAATTTTTAATATCTTTTTATTGTTCAATATATATATATATATATATATATATATATATATATATATATATATATATATATATATATATATATATATATATATATATATATATATATATATATATATATATATATATATATATATATATATATATATATATATATATATATATATATATATATATATATATATATATATATATATATATATATATATATATATATATATATATATATATATATATATATATTTAATATAATATATATTTTTTTAATAAATAGAATTACACCGCGATGAAAAACTATTAAAAATGTGCTAATCAGCTATTTAAAGAAAAATAGTCTATTTAAATTGTTTTTTTTTTTTTTTTAAAACACCAATCTATTTTGTTTATTGGGAATATTAAATTTAATCTATTAGTTTGAAATTAATAATCTTCAAGAAAGATTTTTCATTTTTAAAAATTCATTTTAAACTTTAGGTATCGTGTTTTTATTTTTTGGAGGTACCTATATTTTTTAGTAGTATGTACATATGTGTGTGTTGTGGGGGGAAGGAGTAAGTGTGAGCGACAGTGTGAACACAGGGAATCAACACTGCATGATGACTGTCATTTTCACGCTTCGATGCGATTTCCAGAACTCGTTAGTGGGGATCTAAAGCGAAATTTGTGTGTGGGACGGAGTTAAGTGATGTTAGGAAAGAGGTTAATGGAGTAGTTGCACTTAGGCTGAAGATAGCAATGAGCCGTAAAACTGACAGGCACCATGTTGTGTTGATCCCGATGGTCACACTGTATATATCTACAAAGGACTCTAATATTGAACACTCTTCTACAAATATAGGACATTTACGCAGGTACACACACACGCACTACACACACGCATATATATATATATATATATATATATATATATATATATTGTGTATTTCGGTATTTTATACAAGCTTCATTAAAAACGACAGGTTCGATTCCTGTTTGAGAGCGCATATTTTCTACGAAATTTCTTGAACATTCATGCCGGTAAATATAATTAAAACTCTTTATTTATAAGAAAAAATAGAGCATTTACTTAAATAAATTGTATCTGTTAAAATAACGTATAAACAGAAAATATATCTATATATATATATAATTCTAATGTTAGTCAGTTATGTGCCATGCGGGATACACGCTTAGGCGATCATGTATCTTTTGATGCATAACTGACGAGGCAAATTTTTTTCCACAGTTGGTTGCCATTTCTTTCTGCAGCAGACCACTTGCCATCCAAGGCTATAGAACCTGGTCTGTCCTGCAATTTACCCATAGCTGAGGAGAGAAGAAGAGTCATACCTTTTCCAGAGGTATTAGCACGTCAGTCAGTCAGTTATGAGCCATGCGTGATACACGCTTAGGCGATTATGTATCTTTTGATACATAACATATTGGCCCATATCTGATAGGAGTAGAAGAGGATTCATACCTTTCCCACGGATATTAACAAGTAAGTGAATGTAATGGATTCGACTGGAATTTGATCTCAGCTCTCCGACTCCTCAATCGATCAATCTATGGCGAGTCACCCATCTATGTACTGACCAGGCTCGACTTTGCTTAACTTCGGTGATCGTACGGGAACTGGTGTTCCAACGACTACAAAGGGCATGGCAAAAAGGATTCAACCGTTCCAATATTTTTCTCAGGCAATCCACAGATAATAAAGAAATGGAGTCTGTGGAGAGCCTGCTTCATGCCATTAAAAATAAATAGGAAAACGCCATACTGAGTGTGTAATATATAAATTTCGTAGTTTGCACAAAATCCCTTCATGGTAATAGTAATACTAATCTTTTCCTTATAAGGAAACATGTAGCATTCTGTGACCGAGCAATCAGAACTACTTTTGTTTGAAATTTCTAAAATGTTTCAACTAACAATCATTTTTCGTGAAAATAGGTTTCTCAAGTCCAGTAGCTGTTATAGCTCTTTCCATTACTGTTAGGATTTTCCTTCCTAACCTTTTATTTGAAGTAGTGTGGAATGTCAACATTTTGATTATGTCATTATTTTCTCTACAAGTTACATGTGCTAGCTATCCATTTTAGTTGTTGTTGCTGTTGGTATTCTTTAAGTGATGTGGTTTTTATTATTTGATAAAATTCTCTGTGATCCTGTCGCGCCAGTCCATGATGTTCAAAGAATAATGACATTTGCAAAGACCATTGATCTTAGAAAGCGGTTTTCTGGTCCAGGATTAAGCTTACATTAGTAAATCTAATTATGTAATGGGTGATAAAATGGTAATGTTAGCCGTTTCCCTACAAGGAAACATTTGGCATTCTTTGACTGAGCAGGCAGTGCTGTTTTCGGTTGAAATTTATAAAATCTTTCTCTTAAAACAATTCTTCTGTAAAAGAGGTTTCTCAAGTCCACTAGCTGTTACTGTTCTTTCCACTATTTATGAGGGTTTCCTTCCTAACCTTTTGTTTGAAGGCGTACGGAATATCAACATCTTGATTATGTCATTATTTTGGCTTCAAGTTACATATGCTAACAATTTTCGTTCTTGACGCTGTTGGCAGTCCTTAATTAGTTTCTGTTATTTGGTACAGTTCTTTGTTCGTGATCCTGTAGCGCCAGTCCACAATGTTCGAAGGAGGATTGTCTTTGCCAAGACCCCAAGCCATTTTAACTATTGATCTTAAAAAAAGAGTTGTATATTTTAGATATTTCTTAAAGTGTGTGACGACATGCTTGGCATCCAAATAAAAATGTCTATCTGACGAGACTAACAACGAAAAAAAAGTTACGTATTTAATATATCCAAACCTAATGGTAAATAACAAAAAATGACTTAAGTAAATATAAATGGTATTTAAAATCTTACCTACATCAAGCTGTGTGTACTCATTTCTCACACTATAAGTTAAATATAGATCGGACTGTGCCAACAGGGGAATCTCGTATGCAAAGCTGATTTTTTCGGTAGGCTAATGTTACCCCAGATGCTGTTGGAGACACGTATTTTTAACCAGCCTCACTCCCCATTGGTTTAATATTAAATGTAAAGTGCGGCTTCTTATGTGTCACCAAAGGAATGTTATATATTTTTTTTTTATGAGGCATTTAAACGGACCGAGGAAAGTAGCGCATAACCCCTGTTTAACGAGCTTGCGCAAACGGTTGGCAGAACAGGGATTAGGAGAGATAGTGAAAAAACAAAACTTACTAAGAGCTACAAAGGCCAGGAAATTGTGGAGAGCCACCTCTGGGGGACGCATAGAAGAAGAAGAAGAAGAAGAAGAAGAAGAAGAAGAAGAAGAAGAAGAAGAAGAAGAAGAAAGAAAGAAACTGATGAAAATGAAATAAAATACTAATAATTCTACTTTTCCCTCCATAAGTTCCTTATTTAGCGCGAATGAAGGTTACATCCTAACAATACCTCATAAATAATGGACTATTCCGTTTTGATCGCCTGGAAAGAGGGGAAAAGACATAACAGTGACGCTACTTGTTTTCAGTGAGAAAGTGAAAGAAAGAAAGAAAGAAACGATGAAAGAAAGAACGAAAGAAAGAAAGAAACGATGAAAGAAAGAACGAAAGAAAGAAAGAAAGAAACGATGAAAGAAAGAACGAAAGAAAGAAACAAAGAAAGACAGAATGAAAGACAGAAGGGAAGAAAGAAAGAAGGGAAGACAGAAAAAAAGAATAAATGAAATTAAGAAAGAATGAAATATAGAAAGGAAGAAAGAGATAAAGAAAGAAACAATGGAAGAAAAAAGAAGGGAATATAGAAAGAAAGATAGATAGAAAGAAAGAATGAAAGATAAAAAGAGAGAAAGAAAAAAGAAAGGAAGAAAGAAGGAAAGGTATAAAGAATGAAAGAAAGAAAGAATGAAAGACAAAAGGAAGAAAGAAAGAAAGAAAGAAGGCAAGATAGAAAGAATGAAAGAAAGAAGGGAAGGAAGATAAAAAATAAAAAAAAGAATAAAAGAAAGAAGGGAAGATAGAAAGATTTTTTTTCTTTTTATCTTCCGTGAAATAATGAAAGATAGAAGCGACGCTAACACATTCATATGTTTAACGTCTGTTTCCGTAAAATGGAAAAGTTGTCAATTTGAAATCTTTTCATTTGTATCCCCTTACTTCTTCAAATAATACTTATATCTATGATGGTCATTGCAATATTTTCTTTAAATTGTTAAGCTCAAAAAATAAATGATGCGATGGGGGGATAATATTGTATTGTCCCAGAATTCCCCATGAGCCATCCTTAAGAATTAAGATTCATCAGAAAATTCAATATGGAAAACCGTGAAATTTTCACGGGTGTTTCTAGTAAAATATTAATAACTGATTTCGATTTTGTTTTTAACACCATGTTCTCCCCCGGGGCGTAGGTGATCATGATTCTCCACTGTTTCCTTTTTATTATCAGTGGATTGAGATATGTTTTTGAGAAAGCTTTTCTTCTTCTGTGAGTGATCTACAGGAGGCAAGCGGTCATGGCTCTCCACCATTTCTTCTTCTTTGTAGCTCTCAGAAAAGGGTGTCTTTTCGCCTTCTCTCATAATCTAAGTTCTTTCAACCATTTACAGTCTCATTAGGTAGGTTATACGATGTTTTTCCTCTTGCATCCAGGATAAGGGATAAACATTACTTACAGCTACAAAGGTTAGGAAGCTAACATGCTTTACTCACGGTCTTAATTCATGACACGGTAAAAGCCTGTATTAAGCAAAAATAAATATTACTACTACTACTACTTCGACTACTACTACTACTACTACTACTAATAATAATAATAATAATTATTATTATTATAATAATAAGTTCGCTCAAAGAGTAATGGATAGCGGCTCGGATTGAGGAATCGGAGAGCCGAGTTCGAATTCCAGTCGAATCCATTATATTCACTTACGTGCTAATATCCGTGGGGAAGGTATGAATCCTCTTCTTCTTCCCCAGCTATAGGTAAATAGCAGGACATATCGGATTCTATAGCCTTGGACGGAAACTGGTCTAGCACAGAAAGAAATGGCAACCGACTGCGGAGAAAAAAAAACTGCCTCGTCTGGCATGTATAAAAAAAATATATATAATCTCCTAAGCGTGTATGACGCATGACACATAACTGACTGAGGTAATTCTTACAAAAGGTATGGCTAAATAGCAGGACAGACAGATTTCTACAGCCTTGGATGGCAACTGGTCTACTGCAGAAAGAAATGGCAACCTACTGCGGGAAAAAAATCTGCCTCGTCAGTCATGTATCAAAAGATACATGATCGTCTAAGCGTGTATCACGCATGGGTCATAACTGACTGTATCTGGCATAGCGAGTCTGAACTGCGAAGGTCAGAACTAGCCGAATGTAGCTCTTTTTTAAAAAATCATTTCACCCCAAGCAAGGCAATAATGCCACTAGGACGCAGCGAGTCACAGGGAGGGAAAAAGAATGAGAAGATTTTAGTGAAGAGAATTGCTGAAAAGGACAATAAAGGAAAAGGGTTTAGGAAGAAAGAAGACGGCGATTGACGTTGATTTGATATTTTTGAAGATTGTAGGTGAGAAGTGCGAGAAAAAACTGTTAGAGTAGAAGTGACGATTACGTCTACTTAGTTCAGCAGTAAAACAGTGAGACCTAATTGCCAATCTAGTAATACGCTTAAATTTATGTAGTCGAGACACCAGATTGAGAAATTGGCGAGCCGCTATCCATTACTACGAGTGTCAAATTTGCTATGCCCTCTTTCCTCATGTTTGCTATTATTACTACCTTTTTCAATACCTAAACTTGACATCCATATACACAACATTCTTATGCTGGTTGTTCTCTGTTTCCATTTGCATTCGATATATCCTGTGTGTGCCAAATTCTCGAAACCCCCTTTCCTCGTTATGTGTCTCAGAAATCACATCTGTCTCTTCTGATTTTACGTATAAGCGCCCTTTTTCTTCCCATTTTCCATAAAACGAACTCGCTTCACACACACACACTCTGCCCGTGGTATTCTCAGCATCCTTCTGTAGAACTACATTTCCGTTACCTCAAGTCTCCTATTCGTTTGTGAGGATATGGTCCAGTTATAACTACCATATAAGAAAACTGATATTACATAGCAGTTTAACATACTTTTCTTGATTCTTTTATATGGCAGGTCCCTTCAGAACGAGGGCGGTCATGGCACTCCACAACTTCCTATCCTTTGTAGCGCTAAGCAATGTTTGTCTTTTTACTATTACCATCATTCTGCCATCCATTTCTCATTAGGCAGATTACTCAATGTTTCCCTCTATCCCTTCAGGGCATGGATGATCATGGCTCTCCACAATTTCCTATCCTTTGTAGATCTAAGTAATATTGTCCCTTTACTCCCAGTTCATGTTGTCATACATTTATATAATCTCATTAGATGGGTTATCTGGTGTTTCGCTCTGTCTCTTCAGGACTAGGGAGATCATAGCTCTCCCCAACTTCCATATCCTTTGTAGTACTAAGTGATATTTGTCTTTTTACTCCATGTTCATGTCCATTAACACAAGCCCTTAGTAGTTTACTCGCTGTTTCTACTCAATCCCTTCATGACTATGGCTCTCCACAACTTCTTATTCTTTGTCGATCGAAGTAATATTTGGTACTTTACTATCGTTCCCAGTCGATGTTCTGCCATCCATTACACAAACACGATAGGTAGGTAACTCTCTGTTTCCCTCTGTCCCACTAGAACGAAGACGATCATGGCTCTCCACAGCTTTCTATGCTTTGTAGCGCTAAGTAATGTTTATCTCTTACTATCGTTCATGTTATGTTATCTATTAACACAGGCTCCTTGGGTAAGTCATTCACTGTTTCCCTCTGTGTCTTCATAACGAGGGCGATCATGGCTCTCCGTAACCTCCTATTCTTTCTGGCTCAGAATGATATTTGTCTCCACACACGTCTTCTCGGCTAGCCATCGACACAATCTCGTTGAGTAGGGTCATCGTTACCTGCCCATCTTGCCTTCAATATGCCCTGGGAGTATCAGATTATCTAGTAACTCTTCGTTCGTTATGCGTTCCAGAAAATAAAAGCTGTCTTTTTTTTTTTCCTTTTTTTTTTTTTAGAGAGGACGTCGGCGACTGAGGGTTGGAATAAAGTGACTGACAGGCAGTGTAGAGGGAGAAATGATTTAAGGACTGAACATTATATTCAGTGAAATGGAAAATGAAATATGGGAGGAGGGAGGGTTAGTAAAATACTTTCTATCTACCTATCAAGACTATCAAGATATGTATATGTGAATATGCGTCTAAGCGTCTATCTATCTATCTATCTATCTATCTATCTATCTATCTATCTATCTATCTATCTTCATATTTATTTATCTGTCAATCTTCCTATCTATCTTTATATATATCTATCTCTCAATCTATGTATCCATCTACCTTCATATTTATCAATCTATGTATATATATATATATCTATCTATCTATCTATCTATCTATCTATCTATCTATCTATCTATCTATCTATATATATATATATATATATATATATACATCTATCTCTCAATCTATGTATCTATATAGCTTCATATCTATCAATCTATGTATATATATAGCTTCATATCTATCAATCTATGTATTTATATAACTTTATATCTATCTATCTATCTATCTATCTATCTTCATATTTATCTATTTATCTGTCAATCTTCCTATCTATCTATATACCTTCATATCTATCTATCTATCTATCTATCTATCTATCTATCTATCTATCTATCTATTTCATTCTGTTTCTATCTTAGTTTGTTCCTATCTATCTATCTATCTATCTATCTATCTATCTATCTATCTGTTGTGACGACGTAAATGGTTAAAGAAATTACAAAACCAGTGTTGCAGATATATCATATATTAAACAGTAAGTACAACAGAAGAGTATTACCCGACTCGTGAGTGTCTGTCGGTTGATCCAGCATTCCATCTACTCCACTGTTCTCGCAAGGCCTTCTCTCCTTCTAATCTTATAGTAGGCGGAAGAGTCCAACATCGACTCTTTAGAGGAAGGACACCACAACAATATCTAAATATTTTGTACATAATCATATACTTTCAGAGTAAATGTATGTTTTTAGATATTTAGTGTTGCATTGATTGACTTTTTGCTACAAAATGTATTGTCGCTCATTTTATTGCAAAAATGCACGGTTTGTTTTTTGTTTGGGGTTCACTATTTACCCATAGCTGGGACCCTAACAGTTGCTAGCACCCCAAGTCAAAGTGGATCTGGGAACAACAGTAGTTAAGTGTTGGTCGCATGCTTCTCAAAACCTCCAATCTCCCGATCAGAAGCCTTGCTGCCGGATGTAGTTTATCGTCATACCCAGGACGAAACTAATAAGACAAACAATAAATAACTTTGTAAGCTTCAAAGACACTTCTAAGATTTCTCTAACACCATTCTGGAGACTTTTTCATCAATTTTTTTTTAATATCTTTTCATATTTTGTTACTTTTATTTATTTTTCACTGGCGTGGCATGCAATTTTTCGTTTGAATCAATGCATCAACCCAAATCAGTGTACTCACGCATATGTGCTTACCCGTTCCCCAGTTTTGCCTCTGCCAGGCACATCGAAAGGTTAACGGTTGTTGAATCAAAAAGAACCTCACTACACTACGCGTGGACAGGTACGCAGAAGGTACACGTGGAAGTGTCTTCACTCTAAATATAGAAATGCCTTCTTTCTGCTGTGTGGGCCCCATAACATATGTTGTAATTGGAAACCCTCGAATGTTTAAAAAAAATATAAGGTAAGGTATCTGTGTTGCATAACTCTGTGCCTTGATTCGTTGGGGCCCCTTCAACAGAAAAGCAAGACGTTTCACCTATCAAATTTCAGTTTATTAAAGACGAAGTAATATATGCCTTTTCGTCATATCAGAGACTAGAAATGCAACCTGGTGATGCACGGGCTAAGTCCCTTTCAGCAACCAACGTAGTATTTTCTTTGAGTAAATTATTTTTCTATAACACAGGATATTATTAGAGAAATTATCGTAATTAAAAACAGTTTTGATACGG